GGTTCTATCATTTGCTATCGCATGCAGCTCTCCCCATTTTCTCCCAGTCTTTCTAACTTTATTCTCCAGCTCCCTTCTCCGTGTGTTTTTGGCCTTCTTTTATTCCTATGCCCCTGTGGGTTTCCAATGCAAAGACTTTCTAGTTATATTGTTCTCAGGTTTTTTCAATGCGTGTCCTATCCAATGCCAGCGTCTTTGCCTCACCTCTTGGTCCACTGGAGCCTGTTTAGTTTTCTCCCAAAGCTCTACATTAGTTTTTCTATCATACCATTTGATTCTCTTTATTCTGCGCAGGCACCAGTTAATGAATGTTTGAAGTTTATTATTAATTGTCTTAGTGGTTCTCCATGTTTCCGCTCCATAAAAAGTACTAATTTGACATTATAATTAAAAATTGTAGGTTTAGAATTTCTTTGAATATCATTTGACCTCCACAAATTCCCTAGTGCTATGAAAGCTCCTCTTGCATTAAATATTTTTATTTTAATATATATAATAGTTTATATAGTCGCCTATGCTTCATTCTGCGTTCAACCTTCAAATGGCGGTTGGTACGTTGTGTTCTGGTTTACATCTCGGCTGTATTATATTTGCCTTTCGGCCCAACACAACGAATTCTTAGACCATGGATCAAGAAGAAGAAAAACATTGCATCACACACGGTCATAGACACTTATAGATGCGAGTCATCGACTCTCACTATATCACCGAAGGAAAAATCTGAACTTTTTGAACTCATAAACACAGCAAGAAGAAGAAAGACATTGCAGAGTAACACGACAGTTGGCTCATAAACAGCGGTGACAGTTTTGCAGTGTTTGTATCATGTTAAACGCCATGGTCATCAGTGGAGACAGGTGACGGAGGGTACAGCTTGCGGAAAGTAAGACAGAGGCAGACCTCGGGGCAGGTGGCTAGAAGACAGTGGAGACAGGTGACGCAGGGTACAGCTAGCGGAAAGTGAGACAGAGGCAGACCTCAGGGCAGGTGACTAGAAGACAGTGGAGACAGGTGATGGAGGGTACAGCCTGCGGAAAGTGAGACAGAGGCAGACCTCGGGGCAGGTGGGTAGAAGACAGTGGAGACAGGTGACGGAGGGTACAGCCTGCGGAAAGTGAGACAGAGGCAGACCTCGGGGCAGGTGGGTAGAAGACAGTGGAGACAGGTGACGCAGGGTACAGAAAGTGAGACAGAGGCAGACCTCGGGGCAGGTGGCAGTGGAGACAGGTGACGGAGGGTACAGCTAGCGGAAAGTGAGACAGAGGCAGACCTCAGGGCAGTGACAGGTGAGGAGGGTACAGCCTGCGGAAAGTGAGACAGAGGCAGACCTCGGGGCAGGTGGCTAGAAGACAGTGGAGACAGGTGACGGAGGGTACAGCCTGCGGAAAGTGAGACAGAGGCAGACCTCGGGGCAGGTGGGTAGAAGACAGTGGAGACAGGTGACGCAGGGTACAGCTGGCGGAAAGTGAGACAGAGGCAGACCTCAGGGCAGGTGGGTAGAAGACAGTGGAGACAGGTGACGGAGGGTACAGCTAGCGGAAAGTGAGACAGAGGCAGACCTCAGGGCAGGTGGCTAGAAGACAGTGGAGACAGGTGACGGAGGGTACAGCCTGCGGAAAGTGAGACAGAGGCAGACCTCGGGGCAGGTGGCTAGAAGACAGTGGAGACAGGTGACGGAGGGTACAGGTTGCGGAAAGTGAGACAGAGGCAGACCTCGGGGCAGGTAGCTAGAAGACAGTCGAGACAGGTGATGGATGGTGCAGCTTGTGGAAAGTAAGACAGAGACAGACCTCAGGGCAGGTGGCTAGAAGACAGTGGAGACAGGTGACGGAGGGTACAGCTTGACAGAAAATAAGACAGAGGCAGACCTCGGGGCAGGTGGCTAGAAGACATTAAAGATGCATTGATTATAAAAGCACATAGGGCTAGAGAACTGGCTAGACTTTCAGGTGTCCCCTGAAGAAAGCGACATTCTGTAAATGATCTGCTGACTGATGATAATAAGGTGATTGATGGATGATGTTGAGGTGATAGATGATGTTGGTGTGATAGATGATGTTGGTGTGCATTAGTTCTTATTATGTTGCCAGTAGGTCTATTCCCCCCCCCCCTCCCACCCCGCTTCTGAAATGGGGTCCCGAAAACCACAATAATAAATGCCCAATTGTCCATGCAAACATTCATTTGTTGGTTCCCAGAACAGAAACACAGTGGTGTGCTATGCTCTCCCCTTATCGCATCTAGTCTCTCTGTGAACACATTGTTAGAACTTATTACGCTTGACATTTAGTGTTTTAGCGTAGACGGGGCAGGTCATAACCTGGTGCCTAGGGTAGGCCTCACTCACCCCCCCCCCCTTTCCGAAATTCTTGTAAAGGTTGATGGAGGGAAGATAAAGCGCCTTCCCCGAAAAAAAAGGCGCTAGGAGGCTATGTGGATCCCAGCGACGTGCCCAGCGACGTGCAGAAGTTCTCCTTTAAGTATTTCTTTATATATTTCCGGTTATTTCAGACACATTATTATAATTATTTGCCATTCAGCACGTAATACTAGTAATAAAAAACAATAAATATTACGCACGCGAACACGGCTTAAATTCCTTTAGACCCTTTCGCTCTAGAAAACTATGGTGTCAGAGGTCCCCCAACCCCCACAGTTTTCGTTCTATCAGCGCCCTTGCATTTAAATGCGGGAATACAATAGGATTATTTCTTTGTGTGTCTACGCAATGGGATGTAAAAATCGGCCGAACGTTATCTGTAATTGTTGTTTACAGCTTGGTATTGTGTCTGTTGCCGCCCAACTCAGACTTGTCAGCGTATCTCAGTTAGACTTGACGTCCAAACAGTTCATAGGGGGGTGCCTGAAACAGTCTGGAATAATTACCGAACATCTGTGATTCCAAGGCGCCAGTCGTAGAACTGGCAGGCAGGTCCGTGGTAATGACGGGTAATTGTGATTTATTACTGGTAGGTGTGTCACTATGGGATGGGGAGGTGAGGGCTGGATCGGGTGATAGCATTAAGGGAAAATTGCATATGTGTAGTCTTTCAGCTGAGCGCATTATTATTATGCTCCCGGTATGGTTTCTGGGGCCATATTTTGACAATGCTCCCACCCACCCCCCCCCCTCGCCCCCACCAACAGGCATATCGTAAAAGGTGATTAAATGGGGGGTATTTCCTTCTAAGTCAGAGTGCATTCGCCTGAGAGGCGAGGATTCAACAGTTTGCATAAAAATAAGCCTGAATTCTAAAACAGAGTGCACGCAAAACTTGAGTACTGGAACCAGACCAAAGACCAGAAGTGGATGAACCACCCGAACTTTCCGTCGGAGTTTACAGCTGGTGAACGCTGAGAAAAATAAGAAACATTTGTAATACGCTAGCCTGCCATCCCGGTGTTCAAAAGGTTCAGGCGATCTTTGTTCTTAAAATGAGTTGGCCACGTTCTGGGAAAAATCTGGTACATGATAATGATGATTATTAAAATACGTTAAACCAGTTAGCGGAAAAAGGCCTATTGTTGTCTCTACATGCTTTAGTTGACTTCTTTTCATCCATTCCCTCCCTATTCTTGACCTCACATTCCAGGCTCAACAGGCATCATAAAAGATTGTATTCCAACTAGCCAGTTTCGTCCTTTTTAGGACGAAATTTTTTGTCATTTGAAGCCTTACTCTAGCTTTTGCCAGGGGCCGCAATATAGGCAGGCCATACATATGGCCAAATGTCTGAACGCGGTTTCTGGGACCTCTCCACGGCGATCCTCATCCGCATGGTGGCACTTTGTGTCATCGGGTGTTTATCGCTTGTGTGATGTCCTGGTGGGGTAGAAAGTCAGTCAGTTAGTCCAACTAGCGTATGTTTGATTAACATGAATATTTTGCGTTATTTGCTTTGGCTTTTGCCAGCAATAAAAACTCAAATATGGCCAATTTATTTTAGGACGAGTCACATAAATTTGTAAGGGTGTTATCGCACATGGACAACATTCGACGGAAGCTATATCACAGACATAAAGATTGGGGCTCGATGTTTCTGAGCTCTCCAGTTCTTGCGCTCCGAAATTCAATCAATCGCTTTGAAAGAAATTAAACAAAAGCAGTTTAGAGTTGTTATAGAAAGTTCAGTTTATTGTGTGTATTGTAGAAAAGATAGGTATACAAGTGAGCAAAGATCTAAATAAGCGAGGCGAAAGTAGCAGTAATAAGCAGCATCATCATCCTCATTATTATTACTATAATCACCACCACCATCATCATCATCATCATCACCACCATCATCATCATCACTACCATCATCATTTTCATCATCATCATCACTATCTCTACCATCATCATCATCATCATCACTATCTCTACCATCATCATCATCATTATTATTATTACTATAATCACCACCATCATCATCATCATCTCCATCATCACCATCATCATCATCACTACCATCATCATTTTCATCATCATCATCACTACCTCTACCATTATCATCATCATCATCATCATCATCATCACTATCATCATCATCACCATCATCATTACCATTATCATCATCATCATCATCACCTCCATCAGCATCATCATTACCATCAACATTTTCATCATCATCACTACCACCTACATTATCATTATTATCATCATTATCATAATTACCACCACCACCACCACCATCACCACCATCACCACTACCATCAACGCCATTATTTTTTTTTAAATTATAGATATGGACAAAATCTTCAACACCTATGTGCGGATTCGAACTAGGGTCTCTCAGTTGAGAACCCAGCGTTCTAGATCCTCGGCTAGCCACTCTTCTACCAATCTACTGGTGTGACTGGTGTGCTACGAACAGCCTCTAAATCAAGTCTTACCTGTAACAAAATCAAACAGCCAGGTGAATTTGACAACCTATTAAAGCACAAAGAAGTGTCTCCAGTCAAGATTTAAAAGATCAGTTTCAACAACGAAAAGAAATAAAGTAAAAATGACCCAATTTCCTTCATCCTGATTTTTTTTTCTGACTGCTTGTGCCGGTCTTGGAGCTTGTTGTGGGGCGCTTTGTTGTGGGGCGGCTTGTTTTGTAGCTTGTTGTGGGGCGGCTTGTTGTGGGGCGGCTTGTTTTGGTCTTCTTAGTTTTGCCTATTTTAATCTTTGGCAATTTCACTTTCTTTGCTTTTCGACCTTTCTTCTTCTTCTTCTTCCATTTCTTGCCTTTCTTCAAACTCGCACGCGTGGTACTAGTTGCAGGTGTGGTACTGGTTACATCCTGTGGACAAGAAAAATGTCAGTTGGTGGGTGGCCACAAAAGTGAATATTACAAACAAAAGAACAGAGTTTAGAAGGAACTTTGGCGATGTGGTTACAAGGTTTGCTACAGGGTAGTAAAGTTTTGGGTTCGATTTCAGACATTTGTCCTTTCGGTCTAAAAGGTCTTTAACCCCCCCCCCCCCGGGCTACCCCCAGAAGATTGCAAAATATACGAAAAAGAAAAGATAGATAATTGCAAGACCATCATATTTATAAATCAGCTTATTTGTGGTCACAACTGTGAGAAAGAAACACAAACACACACACACACACACACACACACACACACACACACACACACACGCACGCACGCACGCACGCACACACACAACTACACACACACACACACACGCACGCACGCACGCACGCAGAAAACGCAAACGCACGCACGCACGCACGCACGCACGCACACACACACACACACACACACACACACACACACACACAAGGCAATAGACTAAAATGACTACATAACCGTAAACAAATATTATTTTAACACATCAACCGAAAAAAAATAATATAGACCGAAATGTATATTGTATGTAATACTTATATGGACCGCTCCGAATTGCACAAAGAACAGACAAGAAGTAGGCATTGTTTTCTAGAGAAGCGAGGAAACGAACAGTGAACTTTGATTTGAAGTCTAAAGAAACTTGGAAGACTCCTGACGGAGCTGAACTGTCTTGTACTTTGTGCGACGTTCCTGGCAAAGGGGGACGAACATCCTCTGTACGGAAAGTGACCGAGCCATTTGGGGGTAAAACCTGGTGTCCTGAAGTCGGCCCTGCAGCCTTTAAATCCCTTTTGAAGAAAGATAACTGGTAAGAGTCTCGATTTATGCTGCCATTGGGCAATAAGCGTTTGGCTTTCGCATATTCTAGTCTTCCAATGTGGGTTTTGGGACCTAATTTTTTAAAATTATATTGTAAGGTGGAAAGGGGCGGGGGCGGAGGGGGGGGGGGGAGGATAGGCCCGCTGCCATCCTACAACCGTGTCGTAAAAGCTGACTAACTAGGGGTGTTTCCTTCACATTCGGAATACATCTGCCTGAAGAGCAATAAACAGTCTCAATGCAAATAAGCCAGAATGCAAAACTGATGTGCACGCTAAACTCAAATCCTGGAATCAAGACCAAAGTCCAGAAGATACGAACAACCAGAATTGCCCTCTGAGTTTTCAGCCGTTGGATGCTAAAAAGAGAGAAAAAAAAAAAAAAAAAAAGAAAAAGAAAGAGGAAGTGTAATGTTTGCCATTGATAGCATGGCAATTTTCGTCCAACTCCTTTTTTTGTAACGTATTCAGTAATTCGTAACGCCACAGGGGAGGTAATCAAACAAATGATTTGTAGGGGAATCAATCAGTAAAATTGTTTAGAACAGTACAATGGGACATAAATATGTTCTTTCATGAAAGTCTAGGTGTGGCAGTTGCAAGAATAATCACTAATCGACCGTAATACAATATATGCAGTTGAATATACATTAGGAATCGATCTGTCGATCTGACGAGTTTAAAGAGCCTAGTCAGTCAAGTATTTTACAATTGTAAAAAAAAAAAAAAAAAGGAAGTAATCAGGATATTAAACACTGACGAAACGAGGAATGCAGATTTCATTATTTGAAGCCCCACATGGCTTTTTCAAGGGGACCCTGGATACAGCCGTGCCATGAATGTGGCCAAAACGGCTCAAAGGTGTTTCTTGGACCTTTCCATGGGTGATCCTCATTCGCATGGTGGCACTTTGTGTCACCAGGTGTTTATCACTTGTGTGATGTCCTGGTGGGGTACAACAAGCAAGCGAGTCCATAAGCGCTGGGATCCCATCTTCAGTATATACCTCAGCGTGTGGCGACTGGTAATACCACTTCTATTTTGGTTCACTATTCTTCTTTGGCTACCTGTATAGCACCCGGAAATAAAGTTCATTCGTTCTTTCGTTCGTAATCATGTTTGGCGATGCCTTTTTTGACATGAAGTTCTTGTAGTCGTTTGAGCATTGCTGATTCAACGTCGTCTCATTATTCATTCAAGTCGTCCATACGTGGGATGCAATTTGTAGTTATTTTGGAGTTATTTTATAGCCGGGCTTTAAATATGGCCCAACGGCTGAACGAGGTTTCCTGGACCTCTCCACGGGGGATCCTCATCCGCATGGTGGCACCTTGTGTCATCGGTTGTTTGTTACTCTGTGTGATATCTTGGTGTGGTAAAAAGTCAGTCAGTCAGTCAGTCAAGGTTGTCTTTCGTCCTGCCTCCTTGAGAGCATTGAGAATATCAGCACGGTCTATTGCTTCTTCTGTACATACAGTGGCTCTACCAGCAAGCCAATCAGCTCATTCATTCCCTCCTACCCGTGAGCGTCCTGGCACACAAATTATGAAGATGAGAGAATATGGAAGTGAGGGAAATGACTGCGTGTTTATGCAACGCGCACTGATCTTGATTGTGGTAACAGACAGCCCGTTTAAGGAAATGCATTTATGTAACTTGTATTCTGTATTGTCAGATTATGCTATCTTAGTTGCTGTAAACAAAGAAATTAAACCTTTTATCACAACAGATTCTACGAAATCTTAACCTCTGAAAGAATTAATTCTCAGACAACAATAGAAGGATAAAATGAACCCAGGAAGAAATTTGAGATCTCACGGACTAGAACTTAACGGCCCCCATTTACTTTCTACTAAACTGTGGAGATTAATTTATCTAAGAGAGACGTAGTGTATAAGTATGTTTCTAAGACTGCTTAACTTTTCTATTAGGGATCAGTGTAACAATACGTCACTGTTCTAATGGGGATCAATGTAACAATACGTCACTGTTCTAATGGGGATCAATGTAACAATACGTCACTGTTCTAATGGGGATCAATGTAACAATACGTCACTGTTCTAATGGGGATCAATGTAACAATACGTCACTGTTCTAATGGGGATCAATGTAACAATACGTCACTGTTCTAATGGGGATCAATGTAAAATGACCCTTTTCCAGAGCTTCACACGTATTGGACATATAGTGCTACACCTATATCTAATAGACCAATGGGCAATCGGATGGTGATGTGGTCAACAGCACACCGGCTCCCTTTACTTGCCAGGACTTTTCCTGGTACACTTTTAAGGCTGGGTCGACCTGTGAGCCAAGGTCATTTTGAAAACAGTTCAGGGATATATCTAAGACTAAATTACTGTACAAGCAGAGTCTGTCTAAGGTACTGTACTGTACTAATAGAGATATATCTATTACTACTTCATTGTAATTAATAGGGATGTATTTAAGACTACTTTACTGCACTAGTAAGGGGTCTATCTAAGACTACTCTACTGAACAGGTTGGGATCTATATGACTACTAGACTGTACTAATAGGGATCTATATGACTACTAGACTACTAATAGGGATCTATATAAGACTACTTGACTGTACTAATAGGGATCTATATAAGACTACTAGACTGTACTAATAGGGATCTATATAAGACTACTAGACTGTACTAATAGGGATCTATATAAGACTACTTGACTGTACTAATAGGGATCTATATAAGACTACTTGACTGTACTAATAGGGATCTATATAAGACTACTTGACTGTACTAATAGGGATATATATATATATAATATATATATATATATATATATATATATATATATATATATATATATATATATAATATATATATATATGACTACTTGAATGTACTAATAGGGATCTATGTAAGACTACTTGACTGTACTAATAGGGATCTATCTAAGACTACTTGACTGTACTAATAGGGTATATATGTATAGATATATTATATATATATATATATATATATATATATATATATATATATATATATATATATATATATATATAGATATATATATATATATATATATATATATATTATATATATATCTAAGACTACTTGACTGTACTAATAGGGATCTATGTAAGACTACTTGACTGTACTAATAGGGATATATATATATATATATATATATATATATATATATATATATATATATATATATATATCTTTGACTACTTGACTGTACTAATAGGGATCTATCTAGGACTACTTTACTGTAATAATATGGACCTGATTGGGACAGCTTGACTGTACATGTGGTAATCTTCAGAATTTTCTATGAAACGCCATGGGAAAATAACGCTAACGGCGTTATGACCAAACCAATCTACCAATCAAATATAGACAGCGTAAATGAATATAAAATGAGGCAAACTCAGTACAGAAAGAAAGCTGACAAAGCCAACATATAAGAAAGTAACAAGGTGATATTCATAAGAAAAACAAGAAAGTTAACAAGTGAGAATCTTACTGTGTCCAGTTCCAGCATGGCGATCTGTCGATCGGTCAGTCTGACACGGAACAGGACAGGCACGTACATTGAGTCCAGCGACAACAACATGGGCAGTTGCCAGTTGGGGCAGCTACCGGAGTGCGACTTGTACAGTCTGGCTTGACAATCCCAGATTTGGTCGAAAAACCTGGGTAAGGTGATAACGTATGTATTGTGACACCATAATGAAAAGAAGGTGCACATTTATAATAATAATAATAACAACAACAATAATAATGATAATATTAATAATGATGATAGTAGTAAAAATATTAATACGGTTTACTGGCACCTTTCCGTCTTTCCAGACGATAGTGTTCTGTCGCTAAAAAAAGGGATATAACTCATTGGCTATGACCAGTTTCACTTAAGGAGAGGGATGGTCCACCTACCCCGAGTGTGTGTAATCCTTACGTCCTTTTTAGGACGTAATTTTTTGTTATTTGAAGCCCCACTCTGGCTTTTGCCAGGGGCCGCAATATAGGCAGGCCATCAATATGGCCAATTGTCTGAACGCGGTTTCTGGGACCTCTCCACGATGATCCTCATCCGCATGGTGGCACTTTGTGTCATCGTGTGTTTGTCGCTTGTGTGATTTCCTAGTGGGGTAGAAAGCCAGTAAGTCAGACCTACCCCGATCAAAATGCCTGGGCAGAGTTGTAGAAACCATGTGTAGGTAGTTCATGCAGCACGACTACCATGATGAGGATGATGAGGATGATGAGGATGATGATGATGATGATTATGATTACGATGATAGTTGTAAGCACAAAGCATATGCAGCGACTTATAGAATGATCACATTTCCTTATTCGGAAGAAAAAAATTTAT